CTGTCACCTGCGCCACTGGGCCGTCTCCGAGAAGCCGTGCCTTGGTCTTCAAATACTGACACAGCTGCTGAAATTCATGGTTGTTTGTCAGTGCCATTTGTCTGTGTCTGTGTGTGTCTGTCAGTGCCGGTATCAGTGTCAGTGTCAGTCAGCCAGACACAGGGCAGAAGAGACTGACAGAGAGGGCGACTTGGAAGGGTTAGTAAATACATTAAGCGGGTTTGCAACGGGATTTGCACCCAAATTCAACATTCTGTTCTAATCGTTTGAGGCTCAAAACCAGTCAAAAGGAACTTGTTCTTCTATAGAAGAGTTCCTTTTGGCTGGTTTTAGTATTTTTAAAGCTTGCTGGCTGCCTGGTTTTTGGGTTCCTGGCTGGCTTGCCTCAATTCAAACCACTCACAACCCTCCCAAACACTGCACTTGCGTTCAGAACTTACAATTCTTGGGTTTGCATATACTACAGCTGGAAGCAAAAGAGAAGCAGTACAGCAGCAAAGCGTCGAATATTTTCCTCTAGGTTTTTAAGGCTCAAAACCAGTCAAAAGGAACTTTTCCTTCGATAGAAAAGTTCCTTTTGGCTGGTTTTCGGAGTTTTAAGGGTCCTCCGTAAATATTCCCCGGGTCCTCTGTAAATATTCCAAAACCAGTCAAAAGGAACTTTTCCTTCGAAGGAAAAGTTCCTTTTGACTGGTTTTGGGATTTTTAAAGCTTGCTGGCTGGGTTTTGGGGTTCCTGGCTGGCTGGCTGCTTCAATTCAAGCCACTCACAACCCTCCCAAACAGGGCACTTGCGTTCGGAAGTTTCACACAGGGGTTGGTTTGCATTCCATTCGTGAATTGATATCAGTAAATAATATTGCAGCTGGAGTTAAAAGACAGTACAGCAGCAAAGGGTCGAATATTTTCCTCTAGGCTTTTTAAGGCTCAAAACCAGTCAAAAGGAACTTTTCCTTCGATAGAAAAGTTCCTTTTGGCTGGTTTTCGGAGTTTTAAGGGTCCTCCGTAAATATTCCATGGGTCCTCCGTAAATATTCCAAAACCAGTCACAAGGAACTTTTCCTTCGAAGGAAAAGTTCCTTTTGACTGGTTTTGGGATTTTTAAAGCTTGCTGGCTGGGTTTTGGGGTTCCTGGCTGGCTGGCTGCTTCAATTCAAACCACTCACAACCCTCCCAAACACGGTTGCTTCAGAACTTACACAGGGCTTGGTTTGCATATATTACAGCTGGAAGCAAAAGAGAAGCAGTACAGCAAACGGCCGAATATTTTCCTCTAGGCTTTTTAAGGCTCAAAAACAGTCAAAAGGAACTTTTCCTTCGAAGGAAAAGTTCCTTTTGACTGGTTTTGTGATTTTTAAAGCTTGCTGGCTGGGTTTTGGGGTTCCTGGCTGGCTGCTTCAATTCGGAAGTTTCACACAGGGGTTGGTTTGCATTCCATTCGTGAATTGATATCAGTAAATAATATTGCAGCTGGAGCTAAAAGACAGTACAGCAGCAAAGGGTCGAATATTTTCCTCTAGGCTTTTTAAGGCTCAAAACCAGTCAAAAGGAATTTTTCCTTCGATGGAAAAGTTCCTTTTGATTGGTTTTGGGATTTTTAAAGCTTGCTGGCTGGGTTTTGGGGTTCCTGGCTGGCTTGCCTCAATTCAAACTACTCAGAACTTACACAGGGCTTGGTTTGCATATATTACAGCTGGAAGCAAAAGAGAAGCAGTCCAGCAAACGGCCGAATATTTTCCTCTAGGCTTTAAGGCTCAAAAACAGTCAAAAGGAACTTTTCCTTCGAAGGAAAAGTTCCTTTTGACTGGTTTTGGGATTTTTAAAGCTTGCTGGCTGGGTTTTGGGGTTCCTGGCTGGCTGCTTCAATTCGGAAGTTTCACACAGGGGTTGGTTTGCATTCCATTCGTGAATTGATATCAGTAAATAATATTGCAGCTGGAGCTAAAAGACAGTACAGCAGCAAAGGGTCGAATATTTTCCTCTAGGCTTTTTAAGGCTCAAAACCAGTCAAAAGGAACTTTTCCTTCGATGGAAAAGTTCCTTTTGCTTGGTTTTGGGATTTTTAAAGCTTGCTGGCTGGGTTTTGGGGTTCCTGGCTGGCTGCTTCAATTCAAGCCACTCACAACCCTCCCAAACACGGCACTTGCGTTCGGAAGTTTCACACAAGGGTTGGATTGGTACAAGTAAATATTACAGCTGGAAGCAAAAGAGAAGCAGTACAGCAGCAAAGGGTCGAATATTTTCCTCTAGGTTTTTAAGGCTCAAAACCAGTCAAAAGGAACTTTTCCTTCGATAGAAAAGTTCCTTTTGGCTGGTTTTCGGAGTTTTAAGGGTCCTCCGTAAATATTCCATGGGTTGTCTGTAAATATTCCAAAACCAGTCAAAAGGAACTTTTCCTTCGAAGGAAAAGTTCTTTTTGACTGGTTTTGGGATTTTTAAAGCTTGCTGGCTGGGTTTTGGGGTTCCTGGCTGGCTGCTTCAATTCAAGCCACTCACAACCCTCCCTAACACGGCACTTGCGTTCGGAAGTTTCACACTAGGGTTGGTTTGCATTCGAAGCAGTACAGCAGCAAATCGTCGAATATTTTCCTCTAGTGCTTTTAAGGCTCAAAACCAGTCAAAAGGAACTTTTCCTTCGATAGAAAAGTTCCTTTTGGCTGGTTTTCGGAGTTTTAAGGGTCCTCCGTAAATATTCCATGGGTTGTCTGTAAATATTCCAAAACCAGTCAAAAGGAACTTTTCCTTCGAAGGAAAAGTTCCTTTTGATTGGTTTTGGGATTTTTAAAGCTTGCTGGCTGGGTTTTGGGGTTCCTGGCTGGCTGCTTCAATTCAAGCCACTCACAACCCTCCCAAACAGGGCACTTGCGTTCGGAAGTTTCACACAAGGGTTGGTTTGCATTACATTCGTGAATTGATACAAGTAAATACTAGAGCTGGAAGCAATACAGCAGCAAATGGTCGAATATTTTCCTCTAGTGCTTTTAAGGCTCAAAACCAGTCAAAAGGAACTTTTCCTTCGATAGAAAAGTTCCTTTTGGCTGGTTTTCGGAGTTTTAAGGGTCCTCCGTAAATATTCCATGGGTCCTCTGTAAATATTCCAAAACCAATCAAAAGGAACTTTTCCTTCGAAGGAAAAGTTCCTTTTGACTGGTTTTGGGATTTTTTAAGCTTGCTGGCTGGTTTTGGGGATCCTGGCTGTGGCTGCTTCAATTCAACTCACTCACAACCCTCTCTCAAGCACGGCACAAGTTCACACATTTGAAGCAAGTGCTTATCAGAGCCGAAGTCAAAGGGAAAACGAATATTTTTTCTAGGCTATCTAATAATCAACTCAAGGCTCAAAACATAACCAAGCTTCCTGGGCTGGGTTCAGTATAGGCTTCTTGGCCTTGAATTCTTATCACTCAAGATCCTTCCACTTTTCCAAGCACTGCAGTCATTTCAGAAGTTCAATCATTGTGCACACGTGAACCGAGTTGAAGTGACACTTGCTTATTCTGAATTGCGAAAGGAAATTGCCCTCAAGAGCAAAGCTTTCCGAATTATTGCAATGTTGTCTAATACCCTGTATATTGACATAGTTTGTCTTTGCGGGGGTGTTTAGTAGCTTGAGAACAACGCATTTTTTCATCAGGTGTGGAATGGATTTGTCAATAATTGCTTCCAGCTTGTTCCAATCTTCGTGTGACGCAATGACTTGACTTGAGTTATTCTTCGGATTGCTTCTGTCATGATCTTGACTTGCCCAGGGTTGTGAACTAACCAGCCGTCCCAGCTAAGATGGTTACACTATTACACTACAACAGACACAGCACAGACAATATAAAGGTGCAAGCCACGATTCGGGTCGGCTGGTCAGCGGGCTCGGGGGTTCGGAACCCCCGGAGTGGGCCGTCTCAGCTGAGACGGCCCAACAGCAAGCCGCGATTCGGGTCGGCTGGTCGGCGGGCTCGGGGGTTCGGAACCCCCGGAGTGGGCCGTCTCAGCTGAGACGGCACACTCCGGGGGTTCGGACAGGAATGTTGCCCGTGTCACTTTTGAGCTGACTCAGGGGGTTGTGTTTTCGTAACCCCCGGAACAATCCGTCTCAGCTGAGACGGCTTGTTCCGGGGGTTACGAAAACGCAACCCCCTAAGTTCGGAAAAACCATCCCAAGAGCTGTATGAAAGCTGGGGCGATTTTTCCGAAGTCAGGGGGTTGCGTTTTCGTAACCCCCGGAACAAGCCGTCTCAGCTGAGACGGCTTGTTCCGGGGGTTACGAAAACACAACCCCCTGAGTCAGCTCAAAAGTGACACGGGCAACATTCCTGTCCGAACCCCAGACGGCCCACTCCGGGGGTTCCGAACCCCCCGAGCCCGCCGACCAGCCGACCCGAATCGCGGCTTGCTGTTGGGCCGTCTCAGCTGAGACGGCCCACTCCGGGGGTTCCGAACCCCCGAGCCCGCCGACCAGCCGACCCGAATCGCGGCTTGCTGTGTGTTAAACACCATTCATCTCAGCTGGGTCGGCTCGTGTCTGAGCGAGGTTCGGAACCCCAATTTTAAAGCCTCTTCGCTTGCGTGCGCTTGCCCATTGTGAGCACCGGCCGCATCGTGCCCCGTGTGCAGGTGTCGCACAAAATTGTCAAATAATGAACTAGCTCGAGTCTATTTCCTTTCAGTAGCATTGGCACTTGTGTTGTTGTTGAGGCAAGGCATGCTATTTTACCACACGTCTGGTTCTAGTTACAACTCCAAAGTCAGAAGAGGGAGAGGCGAGGTAAGGGTATTTAATTGGACCCTGTCTTTGGCAGTCGCTTTGTGATGTGGCTCGCAGGAAACATGAGACAACCCTTTGACAGAAGCTAAAGTGGTAGACTCGGCAGATAACTGCGTAAGTGCGTATAATAAACGGCACAGTGTTCTGTCTAATGTCAACTGTCATTATAATTACCAGCTGTCAGACCATGAAGTCTGAAAACAACAACGTAGTTAGCCATTATTAGCCAATGCCGACATCACATGTCCCGGTATCCTGGCCAAGCAGACCCGCCGACTGCGAGCAGTGACGAGGATTTGCTCCGGCAGTCTGATGATGAGGCTCATTCGGCGAGTCTCTCCCTGGCAAGTTCCAGCCCGCCACCAGCGTCGGCGTCGGACCAGGATCTGTTCCAGGAAGATGACTGTCTGCAACATGAAAGTGATGCTGCGTCGTCTCGCAGCCCCTCGAAGCATCATGTTCATTGTTAATAATTTTCCGGGAAAGACGCTAATCAGTCAGTAATACACTCTGGTTTTTTTTCGGAACTCAGGCCAGGGTCTGTTATCTGACGACGGGGCGAATCAACAAGAAGATCCTGGTGGCCGTTCGGAGTGGAACCAGGGTCGAAACACAGGACACTGGATTTCTCGGCAGGCCCCGTTGCTTGAGCAGGGCCAGGTGCTACTGGTGAACGCAGTTCGGAACTGTGGTCGGTTGTCCGTTGAGCTGCTCAGGCGTGTTTCGTCGGCATTGGATGTGCCAAGAAGACAGGCATCGCATGCCCAAGCTCTGGCTGCACACCTTCTCGGTGTTTCAGTGTCGCTGTTGAAGCGAACGGCGCAGCTGGTGGACGTAAACGGTGGGCAGCCAACAGGGAAGGAGCCTGACAACCACCCTGATGTCAGCGTTGTTCACCAGCAGCGTCCAACCTGGTGGCAAGAATGTGAAGTCACTGTACGCCTGGCACTGGGATGTGCTTATGAGCGCCAGGGTCAAAACTCCTTCGAAAGGGCAGTCGCTCGACACCTTCAGGCCCAGCAGGCGTCTGGCATCCCTGGTCAGTGTCAGCTTCAGGGTCTGGCGCTGACGGGCTTCTACGACGAGGCGATCTACTGGTCGGCCAGGGTCCTTCAGGAGATGGATGCGCTTCAGTGGTCGGAGCCTCTGAACGGCTTGGGTATCCCTAGCGACTTCGCTCTCCTGATTGACCCTGTCAACATGGATGCAGGTGCCTTCAGCCGTCAGTACAGTCTGGCGGTCGTCGCCTTGTGTATATGCTCCCCGTCGACTGGCGGCCTTGTGGGCCCAATGGTCGGGGCGGAAATACTGCCATTTGGTGGGCACAACTTTGAGCCTCTGCAGGCGCTCATCCAGAAGATCCTGGACTCGCACCCCGCTGGTTTGGGTCTGCATTCGCTTCGGGGTCGTTGTGCCTGCGTCGGAGGAGACGGACAAATCGTTCGAGGTGGCTCGGCAGCTGCCCATGGATCCTCCGGCGTCGCAGAGCGCTTATGGCAAACCATTCACGAGGACGGCCTCAGCGGTCTGTTTCTGGAGTGGGAGGCAACTGCATGGGACAGGTTTCATGTTGCGGATATTTGCCTGTCCAGGGCGGTTCGTTCCAGCCCGTCAGCGTCGGAAGTTTTACAAATTGTGGCGGAGCTGGACACCTTGTTCGGCGTCGGGGAAGGCAAGGTCCTGTTCGAGAGCGTCGCCAACAGGGTCGGCATTCCCTTCGTCAAGCTTCCGAGACTGAGTGGGACCAGAAAAATGGTGTACCTGCGTCTGAGTCTGGTGAAAAGCTCATAGTGCTTTGCTTGCACGCCAGGATCCATTGGAAGCACGAAGGCAAGGGCTCAGCCACTTTGGAGCGCCTGCTGTCTGTGAGCCGCCGAGTCACAGACATCAGCTTTGTCTCTTGGCTACCGCAGCGAGAATCAATATGTTCATTTTTTGTTTTGTTGACGTTTAAAGTGATTGCCTTATATAATAAAACACAAAGCTTGACGAGATAACAAGACTGCACGAGGTATCCTTTTTAGTGCCTTTCGAGATGCTGATGGAGGAGGCAGTGTCGCCCTACGTCCTCATTTCCCAGAAGCTGATAGAGCCTCGAGCTGCGAAAACTTCGGGCCAGGACATGCTCAGAAAACTGCGGTCGTTCAGTGTCGCCCTGGACTTCTTGCCGGTTTTTCTCACTGTCCTTTGCTTGCTGCGTCAGCACGTCGGCGAGTCGGACTTGCGGAGCTATGCCAAGGCGATGTTCAGTTGGTCAGCTCTACGTCCGTGTCGCATGCTGCTGCCGCGGCTGATGCCCCTTATCTTCGACAGGAATCCAAGCTTTGGAGGCTGTAGTCTGACCCGGCTATACGAAAGCGATCCAGCAAGCATTATTCTGGGCCCACACTGTCAATGTGGTATGCGAGCCCGGCACCTGCGAGGGCGTGGGCAGGAAGCTGCGAGGTCGAACAGGATGTCTTGGACTCTGAATTTACCTGCGACTTTGGGAGGACGACGGCGGCGAACGCAGTTAGTCACCTTGGTCTGTTTGTGGTGTAATGTTGTTGCTGGCATTGCTCTTGAGGGAAAACTTTTCTGATATCATCAACGCTGCTTCTGTCCTTTACGTCGTTGGTTTGCTTGACTGACGGGCGATGATATTCTGAGGTGAGACTGCAGGTGCCCCTCTGGACGAATGCAAGATTGGATTCCAACTGGCCTTACCACATGCCCCGATACCAGCTGGTTACACGCGAGGAGGCCAGCCAGCAACAAGGTGTTACGAACATCTTCAGGGTCCATGTTCGTGATCGCAGGGCTAGCTCTTGCCCGCATACTGACGCAGATGGTTTGGTGGCGTGGCGCCGCAGGGGTGCGTGCCCTTGCTCATGGACATCCAGATGCAAGGTTCCACTGGGTGTCTATGAGTCGCATCGTCACATCCTGGAAGGCCTAGCGGCAATGCGTCAATTTGTCATCGACAGCATCGGTCAGCTGTCTGAAGGCCTGACAAACAAAGCCTACAATGCCGAGATGCTGCAAGTCCTGGACGCCTGTGATGATTGCTTCGATTGGGGGTTCCTCTGCTTCCAGCGTCCTCTCAAGCGTCACGCGGACGCCTTCCGCAATGTGTTGGGCATGTTGAAGCCCTTCTTGCAGCATTCGCTCTGGCCACCAGCGTCAGCGTCTGACTATGCCCTGGTCAAGAGGACATGGGACCTGCCAGAGAATGTTCTGCTGCTGCAATATGGTTGGCTTTGTGAGAGAGTCCGATGCACGGCTTCCCTAGCATTCCGGCGTCAGGGCTGGAGCGGAAGCTTTGACGGCAGCAAGCAAAAGACGGCGCCGGAGGAAGTGCAGACTGCGGTGGCAGAATGGTTCGTCCTGCAGTCCGTCAGCGTGAGATCGCTCTATGTGCTGGGCAGCGTCGAGGCGTTGGTCGGGAAGAAGATCAGGAGCCCATCCGTCAGCGTCGTCTCACTGAAGAAGATTGCTTCGGCCATCTCTCTTTTCTGTGGGTCAGTTGCCGGTTCGACTTTGCCGGCTTCAGCTTACGAGGTCTTCCAGCTGTCGCCCTCCTGCCATGTGCTCGGTGGTGATTAGTTTCAGTGTCAGCTTCATGAATGTTTGGCATGTTCTCTTGAACCTGTGCCAGACTGTGTGCGCGAGGTTTGGGTCCTGTCGGGGGAATGCGAAAGAAGCGCAAGCGTGATATCCTGGACATGCAGATGATGGCAGTCGGCAGCATCGCGACCATCTGCCAAGGATCCCACTGTGGCAAGCTTGTCGTTGTCGACACGATGGATTCTGGGCTCGGCCACGATAAAGCTTCGAAAGAAAACATAAGCATCGTGATTATTGATGTTAAATATGTGGCTGTATGCCGGGTCCAATTTTTTGAACTGAGGAGTTCGCAGTCAATTCTGCAGCTGTCAGTGCTACAGTCGACATGCACAAGTTTTTCCATGTGGGCCAGCCGTCAGCGTCTGCTACGGGGTCAGTATCGGCGTGGCACGCGGGTCGCATTCACCACAGGTATCGGATGCTGAATCCAGCCTCTTCCATCGTTGAAAGACTTGGCTCCATCGCTCATCTGCACTGGAATCCTCGGGAGCACATGGCTCCCAGGGTCTACGTCGACAAGCTCCTGCTGTCGGCCGCCCGCGTCAATGTCTTGGGGAACCCGCGGGACGAGCTCATCGTGAAGGAGGTGTCTGCTGTCATGGAATCTGATGGCCATTTTCAGAAAATTTTATACCTTTCTGCTGCTGTTCGAATCTGGCAACAGCCTGTATAATAATAAGTATTAATAGTAGGTAGGCAGTGATGTAATTTTTTCGTATACTCGGTCATCGGAGCCTGAAGGAGAGGACACGCAGCAGACGGCGTTGGGCGTCTGAGTCGGCGTTGGCCCGTGTTCGTCAGCTGGATGCGACAGCGTCGACGTTCCACAGCGTCGGCCTGGATGCCGCGGCCCGCTACGACGAAGAGGACGTTTTCGACCTGCTGCGTCCCGTGGACATGCCCTCAGCCGTCGGCGTCACCAACAGGACCATGATCCGACGGCTGAAGTCTGCGTCTAAGCAGGCGGAGCTGCCGGCAAGCGTGGACAGGCTGATGGACCAGCTTCAGGGTCAGCTGGCGAACAAGGGCGTGCTGGATGCCCTCCCAGTGTCAGCGTCGGTCTCCAGGAAGAAGCAGACGGCCATGGAGACTGATCGGCTGAGGGAGTGGCTGCAGTCAGACGATGGCAAGGCATGGAAGTCCCAGCGGGCGGAGACTTGGTCTTCTGCCAGCTGGGCGCCTGCGTCGTCGGCGTCTTCGGGGTCGACCGCCGCAAAGCCTGCCTCGTCGGGGTCGATCGCCTCAATGCCTGCGTCGGGGTCAATGGCCGCAAAAGCTTCCTGCCCCGGATTGTTGGCATGGTTTCCTTATTTTGGAATGGTTTCCTATCCTTCGTCCATTAGACTAGAATCTAGAGCCAATAAGTTAAGAAAGGGACGAGACTTAGACTTAGTAGTTGTAGTGCAACAAATTCGACAACTACTGAGGCTAAGACCCAGACTGCAGCGGCGAAGGCCAAAAGCGCCAAAACGAAGCCGAAAGCTGCCGGGTAGATCTCATGCATTCGGCGTCAGTCAGACCAATGGGCTGTCAGCCCGCTTCACGAAGTGACGTTTCACAGTCTTATCGGCATTCTCCTTTGAAAACTCAAGTTGAGAGAGCCCGTGACAAGTCAGACACAGCGTGCTTCTTGCAAAAAGGGAGAGAAGAGAGAGAGGGAGAGATCCGTGATATTGTGGGATTGTGTCGACCACAAAGACTATGCGTGACAACTTTTCACTATCAAAGGTGCCAGCATGGACATTGCTGATGATGAGTCCGACAGTGGACTCTTTGTCTTTGACGAGGACGGTGATATTGCGGTCCGAGTTTGATCCATTCCGGCAGTCTGTATATTATATGTCTGCATATAATATGCAACTAACTAATGAATAAATGAATTAGTCTACCTGTAGCTTCATGCAGCATGAAAAGGATGATGACACGGCATCAGCCCAGATGGATGTTACAGAGGATGATGTGGCTTGGTTTCGACAACAATGCAAAATGTCTTTTGCTGGAGCCTCTGTTTGTTATTGTTGGGGCTCCGTCACTGAAACACCGGCAAGGACCACGTCGAACTTGCTTCGTCGTCCTCGTCGGCAAAGCCCCACAAACGCCGGCTGGATGATGCGCTTCAGCAGGGTCGGAATGTTGCTTTGAGAACTGCTCCTCAAGTGTCGGTGTCGGCACTGGAGTCCGCGTTCCGATGGCCCCAGATACTTCTGGCATGTCTGTGTCAGATGTTTGGGCCAGAAGGAATGGCCGGTGTCTTGGACAAACAAGTATTTGTTTTTCATCGTCTTGGTCTTCCAAAGACAGAGAACAATTATGTGTTGATATCACCGGTTTCCGAGGCAGTGGGCTTACCAGAGATATGACAGTGTCCAGCCACTTTTCTGGTGTGGGCACAGTGGAAGTGGCCGTCGGCGTCGTCCATGCTAACCTGCCGCAATTTGTGGCAGGGTCAGCCTCGTGGACAACGGCTTTTGTCGTGGACAAGGCCCGTTCCTGCGTCGATATCTTGAAGGCCAGGCTGCAGAATACACATGCCTGCATCTTCAACGACGTCACGCACTGCATCTCTGACGTGCGAGAGGTCCGTGCGGGAAACCTGATCGTTGAGGATGTCTGGAAGTCCCTTGCGGGCCAGCGCCTGTGTCTACAGCAATGCCTCAAACATGGACATCTCTGCAATGCTTGGGGTGCGAATGCAGACATATCGGGGTCACCCTGCCAGCCCTTCAGCAGAGCTGGCCGACGTCTGCGTCGGAATGACCCTCGGGTGCTTGCGGTTCTGGTCTGGGCACACAAGATGCGTGACGGAACCGCATCTCAGAGCTTTATTCTGATTCTGTCTGTCAGCTTGCTTTGACAAACGGATGAATGGAGCGGTGTTGATTCTGCCCCATCCTACTCATCTGGTCTGAGGCCAGCATCCAGTCCAATGGGCCTTGCATGAAAACGTCCAAGACTTCGATGTCGGCTTGCTGGAGGCCCGTAGTGCTACAGTTCGCTTGTTCAAACAATGGTTTATAATGTGTTGGATCAATCAATGGGTGAGTGCAGGATCTCCACCCTTGCGATTGTGCAAGGAGCTGTTATCTGACCTTTACAGCATCCACTCACTACGTGTCAGCCCGTCGGACGTCGGCTTCACGATGATAGCGCGGCCTCGTCTCTACGTCCTCCTGCTTCGGAAGGAGCAGGTTCACCTGGCTGTGGACCTCCAAGAAACGTATGACCGGGTGAAGGCTTACTTCAATGCCAGAGTCGACAGGCCGAACGCTGCGGCCGCGTTGATCGCCTCTGCGGAGGAGTGTCTGGCAGCCGAGAATGATCTGCGTCGGCGAAGAGGCTTCGAACCAGCTTCGATGTCGGCGTGTGACTGGACGTATCTGTTCCCTACCTGGAACCAGTCTCTCCATTTCTCGTTGCTAGTTACAGTTATCGCTGAAAGATAAGTTAAGCCAGATTTAGATTTTGAGAGATGGTTCTCAGCAGCATTACGCTATTGCTTCAGACACGCAACTCATGTTGTCGGGAAGGTTGTCAGACGCGGAGCAGCAACGTCTCGCCGACTTCACTGCCCGGCGCCAACAGAAGCAAGGCGTGTGTGATTTGAGTGACAAACTCTCTGCGAAATAGTATATTGTCTTAGTCAAGCGCCTTTCCCGTTTACTACAGGAGATGCAGATCAGGATTATGTCTTCTTCGATTTGTCACAAAACCCCGTTAAGCGGACCAGCTGGACTCTCTCTGGCGGCGCTTTGCCGACGACTCGACATGCTGGGGCGAAGCTCTGGTCTCCGTCCAGGAAACGGTCTCTCAGCAACAATGGTAGGACCCAGGAAGAGTCAACTAGACCAGACTAGCAACTAGTAGTACGGAATCAGCGACTGAAAGAACCACTAGCCGCCTCAGGTTCCTGCTCGCGTGTGAGCTTGCCGCCTGCTTCGGTTTTCCCACCCGGCCTGAGCTTGCGGCAGCTCTGGGTGTAGAGCAAGATACCCAGGCGGCTCGGCTCACAATTCCCTTGCTGGGCAACGCCATGCACGTTGCCAATGTCGGCAGTGTGATGGCTGTGTGCCTGGCGTCGATGCGGTTTTCCTGAGCAGCTGAGCGGGGTTTCCAGCGCCATGACAATCAGTTCCGGAAGTCAGACATCAAGTCTGTCGTCGCGACCTGTGAAAGTTTCAGGTCACGCTGCGTCGGCGGCAGCGGGGTTGCAAATGCACGCTTTTTAGGTTGTAAGTAGTTGTATTGTAGTCGTAGTTAGTAGCAGTCGGACGAGTCGTCGTAGTAGTAGTAGTGTTAGTTAGTAGTACTAGTTAGCAGTAAAAGTACTAGAAGTAGTAGTAGTAGTAGTAGTAGTAGTAGTAGTAGTAGTAGTAGTAGTAGTAGTAGTAGTGGTAGTAGTAGTAGTAGTAGCAGTAGTAGTAGTAGTAGCCTAGGGTTTGATAATTTCGTCTGGGAACACTAACGCGACACTAGTTTTCGAACTTTGCGTTGCCACATCGGGGCACCTATTCAGTATTCAATAGCCTGAGGAACCTGGGAAGCCTGCCGAGCGGACATGCTCACCGCCTACGGTCAGGGTCGGCGCGCAACGATCTATCGTTGGGTGGCTTTGTCGAGATCTTTGGACAAAGACATAATCGAGAAGTTGTATGAGCGTCGCGACCTCGGCTTCTCGCTCGCCCTGAAGCTGCAATGGGAAACATTTTGTCAGCCAAATGACAGACTTGTTAGTGTTAACGTCCGAGTTGACAGAAAGTGATTGACAGAATAATGACGGATGATAATCATGAGGTCATGGACAACAAGTATTTCACCGGCACCGGCGCAGAAGAAAAGTTCAAGTTGTCGTCAGAGTTCGGCGCCTGCTTGGACCGGCCCCTGATGAAGTCGGACTCCCACCGCAACGAAGACCACGCATAGGCCCAGGTGCGTGGTCAGGTATCAGGGTGTTCCTGCTGCACTCTTGAGTGTTTCATGTTGTCGCATACACATGTGGGCGATGTTTTACTGCTTAGAATGTTCACACAACGCCGCAGCAGCCAACGGGAGACGTAATGGGGGTGTAAACCAATGGTGGAACGGTCCCTACTTCGGTAGGTCCCACCGGAGGTTGCACCCCTGAAAGGGTAGTTGGCCTGGCAAGCTGGCTACCCTTCTTTTCTCTTGCCCAAGACCGTGAAAGAAACTTACGACCTTGCCAACTTGTACGCGATCAGCCAATAATGAAGGCGGTTGGCAACCGCCTGATTACCAAGCGTTCAAGGAGGCATACAAGACGACTAAGGTGGGGAGCCGTCAACGTGCGTACTATGCAAACCAAAATCCGCAACACTGGAGGGGAATTGTGTTTCGAGGGAGCCGATCCTACAAAACCTTATGAGATATGTGACCTGCTTGCTGCACATAACATATCACTTTGTGCCATGTCGGAAGTACGATGCAAGGGACAAGGAACATTATCTGCAGGTGAGTATGTATACCTGTATTCCGGTCTGCCTGAAGAAGCTCCGATGTCCCTGTATGGCGTTGCCATTGCGCTCGATCCAACTATGCAAAAGGCGTGGAAAGCAGCTGGATCCCAGGTGTCCTATTGTAACGAGAGGCTGTTAAAGATAAAACTCCGTCTTGAAGACAGGATTTTTCATATTATTTCCGTATATGCTCCTACGTTCAGAGCGTCGGAAACAGAGAAAGATGCCTTTTATATGCAGTTGTCTAAATTGGTGCGCGAATGCAAATCTAATGAGGAGCTTGTCATTATGGGGGACTTCAATGCTAGAGTGGGTACTCGTGCGGGTGAACGTGCAAGGGGTGAGGATGCAGTTACGGGAGATGGCACGTCAGATCTTGTGTTGGGAGATTTCGGCATGGAAGAACTCAATGATAATGGGAGACTGCTTTTGGATTTTTGTCGCTCCCAGCATGGTAAGCCTCTACGTGTAATGGACACTTTCTTTAAACACAGCACTTATGGAACCTGGCAGCACAACCGCACCAAACAGTGGCATCATATAGATCACGTCATAACTTCTGCTAAAACTGCTGCGCTGTGCATGGACGTGAAGGTTATGGCTGGACTAGACTTTGACAGTGATCATCGCATGATACGACTTGATTTGAGACTTGTGAAGCAGTGCAAGCAGTGGTGGGGACGAAAGCGAAGCGAACCGTTGGAGCCACATACACGAATTCAGACGTTGAATGTTGCCCGTTTAAAAGCGCCAGAGGTGGTGGCTGCCCTAAACGAAAAATTTGCAGACGTAGTCGGTGATGGGCTTACGGATACGTACGAGTTATGGTCCCATGGGTTGCGCAGATGTGCGGAAGCAACAATAGGGATAATTGACAAGGTCAAGAGGCCCCAATGGCAGCTTGATAATTCAGAGGAGCTTTCTAGATTGTCCAAGCTTAAACGGGAGGCATATGCCAGTAGGGACGATGGCCCGGAAAATGCCCGGAAGTATAAGGCAATTTGTAAGGAAAACAGAAAGAAGGTCGCTGCAATATTAAACCAATGGTGGGCTAACACAGCAGACGAAATACAACAAGCAGTCAATAGGAAGGACCCTAATCATCAATATCAAGGTTATAAGACGCTGAGGAGGGTTTTTAATGATGGCCGCAAGCCGCCAGCGAAATTAAAGGACAAGAAGGGTAACTTGTTAGGATCTCGCCCAGACAGAGTGGCACGATGGCAGGAACACTTCCAGGAACTACTTAACGTTGATACGCCTATTGACACGAGTGTGTTTGAATGCCTGGAGTCTGTTCCGACCGATCCGTTGCTTGCAGAAGTACCAGTGTTTGCCGAAACTTTGGCTGCTGTACACAGTCTAAAACGAGGTAAGGCTACTGGGCCGGATGGAATTCCCGCAGAAGTCTTGTCAGCTCTATCACATGCCGCCATCAGGTCGTTACATGAGCATATTTGTCAAATCTGGCTGGGTTGCGGAAATGTACCGCAGGAATGGCATGATGCGTATCTAATCCCGCTCCCCAAAACCGGTGATTTAGCGCTATGCTCTAAATGGCGAGGAATACTACTCACGTCGGTTCCTGGCAAGGTGTTTTCCAAAATCATAAACGGTAGGTTGGTGCGACATTTTGAAGGTCAACAAGTCTTGCCGGAAACGCAATGTGGATTTAGGGCTGGAAGGGGTACAGCAGACATGATTTTCACTCTCAGAATGGCAATAGAGCTTGCAAGAGCGAAACATTTGCCCCTGTATGTTCTTTTTGTTGATCTTATGAAAGCATATGACTCAGTTTCCCGCACAGGGTTGTGGAGGATATTGAAGTGCAAAGGCGTTCCGGACCACATGGTTTCCTTAATCAGGTGCTTTTATGAAGGGAAGGTTGTCCGAGTTGCTGTTGAGGGAACTTTGTCAGAATCCTTTGAACTCTCCACTGGGTTGGGGCAGGGATGTTGCCTGGCTCCGCTTCTGTTTAATGTGTTCCTTGCCGCAGTTATGGAGGGGTGGGAGGCTAGACTTCCGGACAAGTTGCGCTTTCAGTATAGGTTGGATGGCATATTACGACGTCACATGGATGAAAAGTCCCTAAACAAGTACACTACTTGGGAGTCCTTACAATTGCACGAGCTTGGATATGCGGATGATGCGGCGTTCATCACAGACACGTACGACAAGCTAGTCAGACTGGCCTGTGATTTGCAAAAACACTATTTATCGTGGGGACTGACTATGTCGGTTGAAAAAACGGAGCTGCTGTTAACTGAAGGTCTTGATCCGCCATCAATTTCGGTTCAGGAAACGGATGGGTTCTCCAAACTACACTTCTGTCAAAAATTTAAATACTTGGGCTCTCAAATTGAGAAGCGGCAAGGATGTGTACAGGATATCATGTTCCGCGTCGATAAAGCCAGGAAAGCTTTTTGGAGTCTTGCAAGACATGTGTGGGATGTGAAGCAGCTGTCCTTAGCGGTTAAGTTGCAGGTATATCGCGCGTGTGTGCTGTCGGTGCTTTTGTATGGCGCAGAGTCGTGGACCACCACATTTCTGTGTCGGCGTAAGCTGGAAACCTTCCATATGAAATGTTTGCGGAAAATTGCACATATTTCTATTTTGGACCAGGAACAGATGCATATGAATAATGAGGCTTTGCGTGCTTTCTTGGGTGTTCCTCCTGTACGAAATTTGGTTTCCCAAGCTCGATTGCGGTGGCTGGGACATCTTGCCCGCATGCCAGCAGAAAGACTCCCAAAGCAAATGTTGTTCGCTTTTCTGCCGGGGGATGTGGGCAGTCCTACGAAACCTGGCCGGCGTACAGGCAAGTGGCTTTCTTTTGACCTGGTGAATGATCTGGAGGCTGCAGGTATACCTAAGGCCGAATGGATGCATTTTGCGCGTAAAAACCAGGGAAGTGATTGGAGAAAGATTGTTTACCAGGCTGCTCCTTGGCATGTTCCGCAGACTCCGACAGCGAATTGTGAACCACCGATACGTGTTGCAGGCAAAGCTAAGCCACTTCGACCACATGCGCCTAAGAAACCCTTTTGGCAGTTAGTTGACAACGTCCATGTCGAGCTGGCTCAGTCTGCACCGCAGTCAGGTTTTTTGCAAGCAGAACTTGCTAGAGGTGGAGAAAGAGCGTTGCGAACACAGTTGACATCATGGTTTGATGAACATGTTCCTGGTGGGTGGTGGATGGTTGACGCACAGACTATGCTACATGAGCTGATGGAAGATGAAGCGTGGCTGTCTTGTGTAACCAGGATATAGACTTGGGCCTGTTTCTGTCCACCATCCGTACCATCCAGCATGTTAAGGCCAATACTCCACCACCGATGCCTCCACCTGCAGTACCATCACAATCTAGGCCGGCCCGCACGCGTATAAAGTCGAAACAACCCAGGCCTACTTGTTATCCCGAACCTTCGTGTACTATGCCCGACCCGCAGAAACGGGATGCCTTGGCACTGCTTATTGAAGCTCCAACCGCAGGGATGCGAACGCCGAAATCCAGGCAAGAGGTTTCCACTACCATTCATACCGAGGGGGATTTCCAATGCGCTATATGTGACCGAAAGTTTCCCACCAAACTGGGATTAATGTCACATATTCAGGCGACACATACCGAAGGCACGTTTAGGGAGGCAGGTTTCCAGTGTACCTTATGCCCGCGACTGTTCGCCCGACAAAATAAACTGACTCAACATTACAACCGTGATCACGTACATAATTCTACCGCACTGGTATGTCCGCATTGCCGTAGTGTTTTCCCGGGAGAACCCATGCTCCGTTTGCATATGGCTGAAGCTCATGAAATACCGGCGGATATTTTTCCCACAGCGTGTCCGTTGTGCGTTGCACGTGGAGATCGCATGCCAGTTCAAATCACCAACCCACTAACGTTTAAAAGGCATCGTACAGCGGAACATTTGCGCGATCACCCCGTTATGGTATACCGGGAGTAATAAGCATTCCTATCAGCGAGGGGGCAGTTATGCAATCACTCGGACGCCCTGCACGCCTGCAAGCGGCTGTGGAACGTGTGGTGAAGTACAACACGCAGTTTTTTGCTTGCTTGCAGAGAGAGAGTCGAGGGAGAGATGTGTTTTGCCTTGTTTTGCACCCTTGTGCGCAGCTGTATCACACCGTGTTCATGTCTGTCAAATGCTGTGATGCCCAAGCTCTCGCTGTAGGGCGTTCTTGCGCAATGGCGCGTGGTGACAGGGGTGAAAGAGACCGGGACCGTGACCGTGGGCGGGACGAGCGGGCACGAGCTACTAGGTCTGAAGCACGCGAGGACTTTGAGTCGTTACGCACTAAAGTGGAGAAGGTTGAAGACAAGCTCGCGCGTACCTCACACCTAGCTCTCCAGGCAAGCAAGGACGCAGGCGAGGTCAGGGCAGCTCACCAGCTTGTGGTGTTCCTCAAAGGACTAGCTCGTGAACGTGTTAAAGAAGTCGTCGCAGAGTACCAGGGGGAAAAGGACGCCGTGCTGCAAGGACTCAAGGACAAAGGTGCACCTCTCAAACTACGGGTTTACGAGGCCCTACTCAAAAAACTCGAGGAGGTTGCAACGACCAAGGGGGCGGAGACGGCGGCGGTGGCCAAAGAGCTCGTGGAGTTGGGAACGAACTCGGTCGTCAACTCTGTCACGAACGGGGCTAAGCCTCCAGAGGGCGACGTTCCTTGGGTGTTGGTGCTTACCTTCCACTACTCGGAGGTGGGTCAGAAAGCCAAGCGGCTTTGGAGCAGTGCCGCCCTACGCCCGTGCTTCGCTAAAACAGGAGGCGGCTGGCCGGAGTTGGGAGTGAGGGAGGGCAGTTGGCGACCCGGCCGTTTACACCAAGCAGTAGCGGAAGACTTGGGTTTGCCACCGAAGGGTAAGGGCCGGGGCTCTGCGGCGACAGGCGTCAAACGACAGTCCGAGTCGCCCGGAGGAACAAGGCGAGCGTCGCGTAGAGTAGCCTGAGTACAGCAACAAGCACTCGCTGCGCAAGCGGTTCGCCGAAGTTGTTTTTTCCTAGAGGTGCGCTTCGTCTTTTACAGCAGTTTTCCCCGCACCGGTCTCGTCCGGGCGTAGCGGAAGGGGTCTCGTCCCCCCGCTCAAGAGCAGGTCTTGCCCTAGCTCAAAAAGTTTCGGCCTGTGATTAGTCCTTGTGGCTTCCCCTTCCCCTTCTGGTTGTTGTTCCAGTATGGTTTGCTTGTTTTCTTGTGTGTTTCGGACGGTTGTCGTTTATTTGTTTTTTCCCCCTTGTTGACGTACCTTTTCCCCACCTTTCCAATGTCGTGTTTTAACACTGAAGTTTTGAGTCTTGTGATGTTGCTCAAACACTTGTCAAGTGGTGGCTGTGCTTGACATGCTTGTTTTTGCTCCGCCGCAAGGCGCACGGAGATGAAGCCGCGTATGCGGCACTACATCTACATCCAGCTTGGACCGGCTTCACAATTTGCAGGACGCCAAAGCGCCGATGAACAAGCAAGTCTTCATGAACGACCTGTGTCAGCCCATGAAGAAGGCAGCCCCATCGGCCTTTTCAATTATTTCGTTAAGCTTGTGCTTTAATATGTTCATTCATTCGTTCATCATTGTTAATTATAAGTCTTGTCTGTGCCATAACTGCTTCAAGCAAGCTGGAAGCCCTGCTCAAAGGCACAAGACTTTGTGCAATTGACGACGCGGCACTACCAGAAGCTCCTGGACACCTCGGCCGGTGCGAACGGAATGATTTCCAGGGTCATAGCCTTTTTGCAGTCGGAAACCGGCCGTCAGAAGATCCTGTATTGCATCAAGAACCGGATCCCTTTGACAGGGTCGCCCGACGTCCCAGACTCAGGTGTCAGCCAGTGCAAGATGCTTGGTCGGACAGTCGTCATGTTTATCCTTTTCTATTCTATCTAGTTTCAAGGACTGCCTCGGTCGCCTGATGTTTTTCCTAATACTAAAAACTTATTCGAAACTGTATTCTGTATTCTACAGAAGCCTTAAAACTAGACTAGTTGTTCATTTATTACAAGCAGAGGAGTATGATTTAGCAGAGCAAGATCATTATCGTCTAATTATTATTGGCATAATCTAGTATATTAATGAATTTCATGCGTATGTCTTTGTAACAAACCATGTAACAATATCTTTCTGTCTTTATATAAAGATATAAATGTCATATATTGTTATGCATAAAGCGGCTATACAGTTAAGTGAGGAATGTCCAGCAGCAGTTGGCGTCGCTCCTCAAGGCCTCCGAGGAGGCGACATCTAAGTCGGCGTCTGCAGCGTCAGCGTCGTCGGGGGACGCAGACGGCAACACGGTCAAGGCCGCAGAGGCTGTGGAGGAGATCCAGATGGACTTGGACACAGATGCAGCCGGTGAAGAGAAGCCCCTGGAGTCGGAGAAGGACTGATCTTAATGTCGGGGTCGTGTTGCATTGGCCTGTTCTCCCTTTCTGTTCATTTCCATTTATGAATGAATGAAGCATTCATACGCATCATCTGTCTGTCATTCTGGGTGTGAAATGTTCGGCGAACGCCGTTCATTTTGACACTGTTGCCCTACCGAAGAGGAAGCCTGGCACTTAACAAAGGCTCCTCTCACACCATTGGCCGGGTGTGGGGCGATGGCTCGCGCCGCCCAGTGCAAGTGGCCGCTCTGAGGCCAACATGCTGGTGCCGGCATATGACAGCAGGACGATGGGCTAATGTGCCATGCTGGAGCGGTCAGCTTTCTGGGTTCAGCGGGAATCTGCTGAAGTGTGCGAGCCATCAAGCACGGGAGGCCTTGTGACATTGTGCTCATTAGCGTGCGTGTTCCCACCTGCGTCTGTCTGCACACTGTCTGTCTGTGCATGCACCCATCTTTGTCGGGCGTCTGTCTGTCCCTTGGCACTGAATGTTCGGCGAACGCCGTTCATGTTGACACTATTGCCCTACCGAAGAGGAAGCCTGGCACTTAACAAAGGCTCCTCTCACACCATTGGCCGGGTGTGGGGCGATGGCTCGCACCGCCCAGTGCAAGTGGCCGCTCTGAGGCCAACGTGCTGGTGCCGGCATATGACAGCAGGACGATGGGCTAATGTGCCATGCTGGAGCGGTCAGCTTTCTGGGTTCAGCGGGAATCTGCTGAAGTGTGCGAGCCATCAAGCACGGGAGGCCTTGTGACATTGTGCTCATGAGCGTTCGTGTTCCCACCTGCGTCTGTCTGCACACTGTCTGTCTGTGCATGCCCTGCCAGTGCCGGACACCCATCTTTGTCGGGCGTCTGTCTGTCCCTTGGCACTGAATGTTCGGCGAACGCTGTTCATTTTGACACTATTGCCCTACCGAAGAGGAAGCCTGGCACTTAACAAAGGCTCCTCTCACACCATTGGCCGGGTGTGGGGCGATGGCTCGTGCCGCCCAGTGCAACTGGTGCCGGCATATGACAGCAGGACGATGGGCTACCGAAGCCAACGTCAGCTCTGCCAGATTCTGGCAGAGCTGACGTTGGCTTCCGTAGATTCTGGATCCGGGACAGCGTGGTCCTAATGTGCCATGCTGCTGAAGTGTGCGAGCCATCAAGCACGGGAGGCCTTGTGACATTGTGCTCATGAGCGTGCGTGTTGCCACCTGCGTCCGTCTGCACACTGTCTGTCTGTGCATGCCCTGCCACTGCCGGACACCCATCTTTGTCGGGCGTCTGTCTGTCCCTTGGCACTGCCACTGCCCATATCAATCGTGCATCCATTTCCGTCCAGCTAGGACCCGGCATGGGTCAAGGCCGAGGAGCTCGCGGAGAGCCAGCTGTCGAGGATACACATCTACTACAACAGCAGTCGGCCGGACTTCACCCGTCAGCTCGAGAGCGTCCTGCAGCCGCGGGAGAAGGTGCTACTCGTCCTTGATGCCCGGACGTCGAAGCCGAAGATCCTCACGGATGCCATGGTCTACCTTCTTGAGACGGCGTTCAAAATCTGTGGCAAAGACTTCGTGAAGATCCTGGTGCCGACAGGGTCGAGGTTGGAGCTCTTGCACATCCTGAAGGCCTGAAGCAGAAAGTTGCCATTTGCATGCTGCTTGGGTAGCCTGAGAAGTTTTATTAAGCCCTTAATTAATTACTAAGCCCCTGTTCCCAGTCGAGGCAAAGCTGAAGGACCATGGCTTGCTGACCTTCATCGTCCAGTGCTTTTTGGACGGCAGTCGGGGTCAGTCGCTCAACTTGCCCCCGACCTACGTCGTCCGAGGCCAGGGCAAGGCGTTCGGTGCAGAATCGATCCCTGCTGGTGTGGCGATCAACAGGGTCTGTTGTCAGCATTACGAGCTGACGAACCAGCGCTGCACGGACCCTCGCTGCAAGCACCGGCCAGCTTCAGCGTCGGATGTGCCCGAGGTCGGTCAGTCGTGTTAGCTGAAAGGCACAGTCAGTGTCCTCCAGCCAATTGTTGTGTGCCCTGCAGGGCGCCAAAGCCGCCGCAGCCATGGACCCTGAGAGCGAGATCAACCGTGACGACATGGAGGAACGCCAAGAAGACGAGCTCGAAGTGTCGGAGGCGCCTGGTGAGGAGGATGAGCCTGCGTCAGAGTCGGAAGTCGACCTTGCGGGGGCCAAGGACATCTATTGCTTCGCCAGGCCAGTGGTGTGGTACGAGCGAATGCTCAAGGAGATTGGCCACTCTGAGTCGTGTCGGAAGGTCGTTCTGCTGTCGAGGCGCTTCTTGAACGTTTTGCCTAAGCCATGTCAATGTCAGCCTTAGCTTCTCGAATGTTCAGCGTGACTATAGACTGTATTTATTTTCGATACTTGAGACCACACCCTGACAGGACCTCCCACCCTGCGTCGGCTGTCGCCTGCGAGTCCGTCGGCCTTGAATGTTTCTGTTTGGTCGAGGGGCCCAACGAGCACTCTGTCGGCCACGCCAAGGAGCTCCTCCGGTCGATCTGCACGCACAGGCGTTTGTCGGAGGCCCAGCGGTCGGTCGTCGGCCGCAAGAGAATCGGCCCCGACAGCATATCGTTCATCACCGGCGTCAGCGTCCCTGAGCTCGAGGATCCGCCACTGCAGCCATAATTGTGAGAGTTCAGTGTCTAGGTTTTTTTTTTGGATTTGGGGTTAAGGGGTTTAGGTTTGGAAGTTTCTCAATAGGATTCAGAGTTTTGGAGTCGATAATCGATGGACGCACAGAGAGGAGGCCATGATCTATGCGAAGGACGTGCCGGTGTCAGAGTCGTGGCGGAGCGGCGTCGATGTGGACCAGACCGGCCTGGCAGAGAAGGTCCGCAATCTCGTGCAGTCGCAGTTGATGGAGTACTCCCTCGGCATCGAAGCTTCTGCGTCCGGCCGAGTTGCGGTCGCGAAGAAGTGCAGGGCTTACTTACTTATCGAGGGGCCAATATCAACCAATCAATCAGGCCGTCAGTCAAACCGTAAGTCAATGAATCAACCAGTCATTTAGTCAATGTTACGAGTACTTGTTCGATACTCTGATATTATTTTGTCACATGATTCTGGTAGAGTGCTCGACATGAAGGTCCTTCAGAGATGGAGACACCATTGGCCCAGCGTCAGCCCTCTTCTTCACCAACCTGGACAAGTTGCAGGCTTTCCTCGCTCGAGACGGGCATGGGGCACTGCGAGACTTTGGAAGCAACAGTAGGGACTTTTCTGCTAGATGGCAGGGTGCAAGGAATTTGGAATCAGAGCATAATAGTATAGTCCATCTGTCTGACTGCAGGACAGACGGCTGAATGCTACGACGATTTTTTAATTATTGTTGACCTGAGCTGGCAGTACATAAGGCGACCGAGTGGTCAGACTGGAAAACTTCGATCACGGCGTCGACTTGAAGATCACCTTGTACGCAGTCCTGGTCGGCTGGGCGCAGTACCTCACGCCCTTCAGCGACGCCCAGCGTGACTCGGCTCTGGTTTGAAACAGGTTCGTGCCATAACTCTCCAGGTACCGGGTTACGGCTGGAGTGCGACCATGTGACAAGTCTCCACTTTTCACTGAAGTTTTTTCCCCTGCTGCTTCCTATTATTTAATATAACTGTGCTGCTTGCCGCCTAGGCAAGTCGCCGAACTGCCGTCTGGATGTCTGCCCGGAATCGGGGCTGCAGATGCTTTAGTCATGTTTTGAATATACCATGTTTCAGATTTCTACTGCTTGCAGACGTGACCTGTGTCCTTCACCTAGGACAACGGATTTACGGACGGCCTGTTGTCGGTGAAGGTGCGGACGCGCAATGGGGCTGGCATTGCGTCTGGGTCGCCCCTTTGCATCAGTTTCGGCGCCTTGCCGCCAGCGTCGTCGTCAGCCAACCAGTCGTCGATCCACGAGTCGACCCCGGTGAAGAAGTTCAGAGGGACTCTGGAAAACTATTTCCAGGAGAGTCCTACGGCGTCCCCAGGCACGGCGACTGTGACAGCGCAGGACTGGTAGTATTGCATTGACCTACGCAGCATGCCTGTGCCAAGCCTTATTACAATATTGACGCCGAAAGACTGTAAATTTAAATTGTGCAAACCTGCTTTTGCAGGATCCTGAAGCGCCTGCCGTCGACACTGGCAAGCCACAGCCGGCCCCTCCAGTGCCAGCGTCGGCGCCGGAGGCCCCGAAGCCGGAGGCCCCGAAGCCGGAGGCCGAGGTGCCAGCTAAGCCGACCCCGGCGCCGTTTCCGACGCCAGCAGTGCCACCAGGGTCAGTCGTCCTCCAGAACACGATTCGCGTGAACGACAACAGCTACCAGGTCAGCTTCCTGCGGTCGGACGGCAAGATCAAGGTCAGCATCATCTGCGACGTCCAGACCAACAAGAAGCTCCCGCCGCATTGCATGCTCTCCGTCGTCAGAGAAGGAAAGATCATGAAGATGACGGACCCAGTGTTGGCGCATGCGGTCCCTTACAAGGTCGCCCGCCAGACGTTGGTTTTCAACAAGGACGACATCAGCGTCAGCTCGTCGTCGCCAGCGGCTATCGCTGTCAGTGCCTTGATGGAGAAGACGAAGGCGAAGACAGTGGCGGAGCACAACGAGCAGTACAAGCCGGCGTCGAACAAAGTGTTCGTGGCCAACGATGCTCGTGTGCAGGAGGCGTGGCACACACACACAAACAAACAAACAAACAAACAAACAAACAGAAAGACAACAAAAACATGCTTGTTATTAAACAGTCGACCAAACAATCACAAGCAATCAACGATCACGGCGACAATGCAACAACGACAATAACCACAACAACTCCACCACCACCACCACCACCACCACCACCACCACCACCACCACCACCACCACCACCACCACCACCACCACCACCACCACCACCACCACCGCAACAACAATAACATCAACAACAACAACAACAACAACAACCATGACATCAGTCACAAGAGCAGCATCATCAACCACAACAACAGCCACGACAACTTATTTACTGTTTGTCTGTCAGGTGTTGGCCATGGCAACGGCGAACGACCGCCTCGCGCTGCGCTGGGTCTTCAAGAAACCAGGGTCGGAGGGCGGCGAGCTGACGCCTTACGGCATCGCTATCGCCCTGGCGAAGCAGCTGATCCTCAAAGACGGCTCCGCTGAGATTGTGTGATGACTGTGTCTGTGTCTGTGTCATCTGAAGCATGCGGCACCGCGGGTTCAAGCTCAAGTTGATAAAATATTGTCGTCAATCGTTGGTTTGAACTTATCCGTATTTTTGCAGCCGTCAACAACAACTGTCAGTCACAGCTGTCGCATGGCCGGATTCAGTCAATCACGAGAAAGTGGCAGGCCGCAAGGCCTGATTTTAAAGCCACCTAGCGGGATCTTTGGTCACACTGCGTTAAGGAACGATGTGTATGCACAACCGGTAAAGCAGTTGTGATTCTAACTAGGTGTTAGTTGTCATAATACTATCTCTGTGTGTTGTCTGCTGTTGCAGCGTCGACCATTGCAAATCGTAGTCTTACGGCGATTTTGACAGACGTTGTGTCTGTGTCAGCGCCACCATTCTCCTAGTCAGTTGTCAGTGACTGACTGTGGTCGACACATGCAATTTGTCAGGTGTCTGTCATTCTAATTCTATCGCCAGCGGAGCCGAGGGCCTGAGCTCAACAGACTGTGTCGACACATCATCATTCTGATTCTGGTGGGTTTTTAATCCACGAGCCTTTAAAGGACACGGTTTTTTCCCACCGGACAGCCTAGCTGCTGAGACCACCGTCAGCTCACCTGCCGAGCAGAAATAAGACAGCAGCTCAGGCCCAGCCATGTCTATTATCACAACCATAATATCATCCATATTTTGGTGCCTGCCTGTCTGTTTGCAGGTCGTGCCAGAGACGATGCGCTGGTGGCCTCGCTTCTGCAATGTAAGGCTTTGCAGATTCAGATTAGATTGCTCTCATTGGCATTTGTGCCCAGGCCATATGACATGGCGAGCAGCTCCACCGGCGGTCAGTGTCAGTTTGTCGTCGGGGTCGGTTAGCAGCGCATCAGCTATTTTTCATGGTTTACACTCATACGATTTTCTGGGCTCCCAGTGCAACACACACCAAAAACGTTTTGGTCAGCATCATGAGCAGATGTTCAGCATCATGAGCAGGTTCCGTCGCACCAAAAAAACCTTTTGGTCAGCATCATGAGAGCCAGAATTCGCATTGAACATCAGCTATACAGCAGTTCTTTATCAGCTTTCCAGCAACAGAGTTAAGAAGTTTTCGGCCAAGTCGTAACGCAACAGTCTGTCAAAGTAGGCCGGTTCACCCCGTCCTTGGCCGAAAGGTTTGTGAACTGGTGGGTTCAAACGTCCTTCAAGACCGGGGGGAGCACTAGGTCGCCTTCTTGCACCTTCGCCTTCACCCGCAGGTACGCCTCCTGGTTCATTGCCAGAAAGACCCGCTGAGGTCCCTCGAAGTCCTGGCGCAGACTCCTCTCCACCCGCAATCATCACTTCGTTCAACAACTGAGCTGAGGCATCCAAGGCACGCTTCAGCTCTTCATTCTGGTCCTTGAGGGTCCGCACCTCCTGGTCCCGACTTTGCATGGCAAGTTGAACTTGCCTCTTCACCTCTTCCATCACAGCCTCCCTGTTCACACTGCCAGCTGAGCTATCATCTCGATGAACTCGTTCACCAACAGGAAGCGTCAAAGAGGTAGGCCTCGCCGTCCATTCTGCCATAGCTTGCCGAGTCTCCGCAGTCATCAGGGGTTGCTCCTCAAAGCCTTGGTTCGAGGGAGAGTGCCAGGTAGGTGAAGGCCCCACAGGTCTATCAGAACCGCCAACGTGCTCCAGTACAGGAGCAACGAAACGCCGATGAAGCACCTCACTGATGCGTGTCACCGACCAGCCATTCTGACTCCGTCCTTCATCTTCACGAGGCAGGACGGACTGCGGTGAACCAACCAAACTCTCTGCAGAAGAAAACACATCCTCTCCTCGAACGCTATGCAATGCACGCTGCGCTCTGGCCTGAACGGCCTGCACAACTGCTGTCCTTTGCAACTGATGCACTGCATGTTGTAGCGGACGTTGCGGCAGCGGCTGCGGCGGTGGTGGAGGTGGTGCAATACGCTGTGGTTCCAAAGTCGTAGTTGTTAGCTGCGGTGGCTCTGGTGCTGCAGACTGTGATTGCGCTGGGGCTGTTGCTGGCTGTGGCGGCTGTGCAAGTGGAGCTGTAGGCTGCTGAGTCGTAGGTTGTGCATGCGTGCCGTGCGTCGCGCCCAGTCCGGTTGGTAGGGTCGTAGACGTAGAGGGCTCATCACTTACAGCAGGTATAGTCCCTTGCACATCAGCCTGACCACTAGAATCAGACCTCCGAACATCTGTCACAGACACTGCTCTTCCAAGCGGCAACGCAGACGTTGCACCTGTCCTTCGTGCTCCATGTCCGGGAACCACTCCGTTCACTGCCCCATAATTAGGGCCCGAAGCTTCACCCTCAAGCACAGGCTGACCTCCACCCTCATTTGGGCGACTCATAACCTGAAGATCTCTGGAACTCGATTTCGGGTTTACAGCCATATCAACTTGTTCAGACAGGGCACTCCATGGCAACCGGCGAGGCGAATTGTTTTTCTCACAAGAAAGCGTCAAGCATACGTTAGGACCTGGGACCTGCATTTGCTTAAAGCATGCACTGTCTTCCAAGCCGAACATGCGACTGCAATCTTACACATGCGGAACATCACTCGACCAGCATACAAGACTGATCATACAGAGCCGGAGGCAATGTGAAGCACATCGGAATCAACAGTCTTCTAAGTCCTAGGCCCTAGGCAAGGTAGGTGAGCGTCTGGCCCAAAATCGACTTCTCTGATCCTGCAGTATCCCAGTGGTCACGGCTGTTCATTGCATTGATCGTACTGCTGCAGAGCTTCTACGTGTGCAGTGTATAGAGCTTTTTCTCTATGGTGGCATAGCTGGATAACAAAGTATCTAAAAGGGTTGCGATCTCAGTAGACGGAGTAGTGTGGTTTGATGACCACGCTTCTTGTGCGATGTGTTCTTTTGCCTCTGTGTTGCAGAACTCTGGGGTGTACTAGGGCCTGGGGCAGTGTTTTAGCAAGTGGTTTAGGGTTCTGTTGCGCGCAGAGTACTTTAGCAGACAGCGTTCTACCCTTCTGGTTGTGTTGAGATCCTCTGGGCCACAGAGAACCACGTCACCACGTAGCTTGCGGGTGCCACGTCACATGATAGATCCGACGGAGTCTCTGCTGCTAGGGCTGTTTTGTAGAAGGCGCCACCGGCATTAGTGTCTGTGCCTCTGAGCAAGTTCTCTGTTGGCTAGCCACATGCCAATCCTGCATGGCCCTCCTGTCGTGCAGATGCGTGTTCTTGTTACTTTGGGTGCGTGGGCAGACCGACCCTGTACAGAAGGTGCTGTACACCGGCAGTGCTTGCGCTGTTAGCTTCAGCAAGTTGCAGCGAGAGCTTTGCCAGTGTTCCCTGGAGCCAAGGCTACTGGAAGATACTAGATTCTATACTAGATGACAAGTAAGGATCTCGATTCCGAACTTTAAATTTCTCTGTGTGTGTTTTGTCCGCAGATATGTGGAGTTGTACATATATATATATATGTTTACATTCATAGGTTCGTGTTCGTGCCATGTAAGGAACTATGTCGATGTCATGCAGCAGTGGCAGAATCGTAGATGCTTCAGGAAGGTGAGTAGCCAAGAAGCCGTAGTGGCCGGTGGCCGGTAGCCCCTGCGAGTGTCTCTTCTCCAACTCACAAAAGACAGACGAGTTGGCCCGACTAGAAACAGCGCGCGGGCAGCGGGCAGTCAGCAGCAGCCTCGTCTTGTGTCAGTTGGCGTACCTTGCTTTCCATGCCGTATCTTCGGGTAGTTTGTAGTCCCAAGAACATCATATGCATCGGACTGCGAGATCCTTCTTGTTTTGCGTCAGAAGACGCATGGTGTCAGCACACAGAGACTTGATGTTCTCCAAGGCTCAAACTCCGTTTGAGTGCACTTGCTCTGGCAGCATCGACTGTAGGTCTGTGCTTCCGGGACCACCGTGCGTGGATCCTACGATCTATCCTTCTCTCCGTAATTGGTCCTGCTGACCACTGCATGACGGGCAAGAAGCCAGCGGTGCCCAAGGCCAAAGCCAAGGCTGCTCTTGTCAAGAAGGAGGCGGGGATGCAGCTGGATGTGATCACATATCGCATTCGAGCTTCGTTTCTTTCTTCAGCTTGCCAGCGACTAGTTGGCGACTGCGATCCATAATGAATGACACGTTTGGTGTCCGGGTCGACGCCCGCCTTGTGGTTTGGATCCTAAACCTTGTGAGTTGCGCCACACCAAAAGTCAGGACTTTCCAATGCACGTTACTAGGTAGCGCGCTTGTTCCGCTTCGGCGGGGCCGCGTTATGTCGTAGAGAAGCTAGTCTATCAATGCGTTGTAGTAACAGCGACGTGGGAAACTAGCGTAGAGTATGGGGAAGGTATTCTTGTAAGTATGGAGGTCACAAGTCGCTGGGTGGAGCTTGGACTTGGAATCCAGCTTGCTGCATGCATTCCTGTATAGTAAGTATAATCTATAGAAGCTTCCACTCATGCTTGCATGATTTCGCTTTACGATTTCCAGAAACTAGACGCCCCTCACGTGCCGAAGCCCGAGACGAAGGCGCCACCGGGAAACAAAGAAGACGCCGAAGAGCGCCGCAAAGAAGTAGAGGCCGAAGACGCAGCCAGGGCCCACAGGAAAGGTGGTCTCATAAGGCGCGCGCGGCAGCGCTCCGAAACGTGCCGCACGGATGCGCGCTTGGGTTTTCGACAGTCTTTGAGACGTTTCACGTCTCAGGGATTTTCTGGGATTCTGGGAGAGCAGAATAAGTGCTGATTTTGGAGTTTCGGCTGGTTCCGAAACGTACTGCGCGGATGCGCGTTTGGATTTTGTACAGTCTTGGAGTTGTTTCACGTCTCATGGTTTCTCTGGGAGAAGAGAAGAACTGCTGATTTTTGGATTTTCGGATGGTTCCGAAACGTGCTGCCCGGATGCGCGTTTGGATTTTCGACAGTCTTTCAGTTGTTTACCGTCTCACATGTCGCACGCAATTTGGAACTACGTTTACGATGCAAAGTCTTGGCTCGGAGCTTGAAACGAAGACTTCAGAAATTTTGTTTTCCCACCCACCCCACCCTGGGGGCGAGCAGAGTGCGTGTGGCATGCACTTGGAAACCCCCTAAATAGGTCTAGTCTCGGTCTAGGTCAGCTCGTACCCGTTGTGACACTTCGCGTCTTTGGCTTAGCGAACTAACAGGAAAACCCTGATCCATAGCCAGAATCGCACCCTCTCCTGTCGTATACAGGCGGAGACGTCGACGGCACTCGTGCCTTTTCAACCCGAGAACGACTCCGATGACGAGCAGAATCTAGCTCCGGGACAGCTCGCCAAGCGCCGCAAGGTCAAGACGGCCCCTTCTTCCCTGAAGTGTGCCTTCTGTGGCGTCTCGGAGGAGGCAGATGTGAATCAGATGGGGTTTGTTCATGGAGATTTATGTTAGGACCTACAAGAGAATTTTGTTGACCGGCCAGCTGGAAGTTGCTTTCCATTGGATCATTAGAGGGGGTTTGCAGCCAGGCCGCTTGGGACAGTGCAGTTTATGATGCTGGGTAACCCAAGGACCTTGTCCGCTGTGTGCATGTTAGCTTGCACATATGCGCAGGAAGCGCGGATGGCCGTGGACAGGAATAGCGGGAACATCATAGCTCCTGCGTGCTGGTCGTGTGGTGACAAGGCAATGAGCCTTCGGCCAGGCGTTCCTTTGCTGATCCTGGTGAAGTGCTACCGTGGCGATCTTCCGGAGGCGGCCGAGGATCCCCAGTTCGCAGAGGACATGAACACTGCCTTGAAAAATGTGAAAGACATGGAGACCTGCGAGCTGGAAGCCAAGGATCTATTCACACCCAACGGGGAGGTCCTCGAGAGGACCTCCTATGGCATCCGGGTATATCAAACCTATGCTCTCGTCACAGAGGCCGAGTATTCACAGTTGACGGAGCACTCGCCTTCGGACATCGGCAAGACGCCTTTCAAATTGCCGTTCAACGGGCCGCTGGCCAACCTCCAGTTTGTCCTCTTGGATCTGAAAGATCTGGATCCAGCGGTTGCGCAGGCAGTGCGGAAAGTGGAGATCACCTACTCGACACAGGCAGAGCTTGAGCAGCTCTTCCTGCATGCCGACCAGCAGATCCATCAGAAGCAGCCCTGGAACGTGTTTCAGCACCGTGTGTCGAAGCACTTTGACAAGCGGCCGGACCAGCTCCGCCCAGCAGCCAAGAAGCCAGACACGTTGTTTCAGGCGCAGGAGCTGTTTTTGCTGAAAGGCCCCTCGAAACCAAAAGTTGGGGAGACGTTGTCGGCAGACAAGGAGAAGAGCATTGCCGTGGAAGATGGCAGGAAGCTAGGCTTGGAGGAGGACGATCCAGAGCCTGGAAAGACCAAGCGCCGAAAAACAGCCCCATCCAGTTCTGCAGGCACTGCAGGCAAGCGCTTGCTCATGACAACCTCGGAGCCCGCCTTTGCTTCGCATGCCGCGGACCTCGGCCTACGTGGAGACAGCCCCGCTCGGAGCCATTCCTTGAAGAGCTCCCTAAGGCCCAGCAAAGCGAAGGACAAGAAGGGCCAGAAGGACATTGAATTTCTGGATGCGGATATGAAGGCCGTCTCAGAGGCCCATCTTTCCACCAGCACTGGAACCTCCGCCAGATCGCTAGGCACTTTGGCGAACCCCGAGCTTTTCCAGAACCCCGAAGAGGAGGCGAGCTCCAAGATGCAGTCGAATGCCCTTTCTTCCGCCCAGAGCCAAGAGTTTTGTGCGTAAGCCCAGCCTTCAATCCAGAATGATGTTGTCGCGAGGGCAAGTCTGTGTCCAACTGGAGGAGCATGCTACAGGGCCCGGCCACCGAAAATTCGACAAAGGGTTTCCGCTGCAGTGCGTGAGACTTTGAGCCATGAGTCCCATAAACCTCCAGAGCTACTCCCAGACACACATTTCAAACCAGTACTCAGTACTACTGGCTTCTGACTCATGAGTAAGTGCTGGTAAACCCGCAGACCCAAGGTGCCTTGGTTTTGTGTCCGTTTTGCAGTCTTTAGTCAGTCCAGATTCTATGTCTGATTGCATGCCAAAACTCAAGCAAACGAGATGCCAGCTTCTAGCCCTCGCCAAGCTGGCGGGTGGCACCCTGCAAACCAGGAGCAGCAGCAGCAGCAGCAAACCCCAACACAAGAACCAAGCTCCACCGCTTTATGAGGCCCACAGACACTCCCATGGTCCCGTACGGTGATGGGTGACGGGCACGTGCTTCTTTTGAGTTTGTGCCCACAGTCATAACCGCGACTTCATCCGACTGACTATATGTGGTTTTATGCTAGTTCTATGCCCCCCCCCCCGCCCCCCCTTCCAAGAAAAAGCAAGCCTGGCCCAAAACCCCAAAAAGAGCCAGCCGTGTGAAACCCCAACCAACCCGTTCACATTCAGGGGTGCTCGCTCTTTGCCCCTCGACCGCCCCTCACCGTGTTTCTGATGCTTGTTCCTGATCATCTCAGAATACTGCCTGAGGCGAAGAAGATCTACGAGAACTTGGAGAAGAATAAAAAGAGCACGGCCGCACAGAAGCTGGAACAACGGATCATCCTGTGCGAATGTTGCAGCTTCATGCGCTCCAAGAACCTCTCGGACTATGACTGGGAGATAATTGCCGAGAATGTGGAAGGCACCAGGGATCTGTGGCCCAGGTACACCGTTGAAATGCAGGCCCGTGTCATCGCGTGCCGTGGTCTGCACATTCTGCGAGGGGGCTTGGCCAAGCTGGAGGAGCAGGTGCAGCAGCAAGGCACGGGGTTGGTTCCTGGTCTCGTGGGCATCTTCGCAGCCTTGGAGGACTTCTTCCAGCTTTCCCGGGCCATGCAGTTGGAACCGACAGACTTCAATGGAGAGGAGCTGGAATTTGCGGCCTTGCTAGCCCGCCTCCTGCAGCAGTGTACATCCGAGGGGTCCGGTGATGCGGAGGAGTTCATGGATATCGAGGAGCTGTTGTTGCACACCGACGACACGGATCAGGGCACGGTGTCAACCAAGCAAGGCTTGTTGCTCCGGCGGAACTTCGAGGACAATTGCAGTTCAGTACTAAAGTGCTGTATGTCTTCCTCGGCATGGCTGCTCTTGCGAGACCACTGTCATCATTGCAATCTAGGAGATGGATGCATGCGATGTAGTGTAGCAGTGTAGCCGCAGCCGTAGCAGCCGCAGCAAACATTGTGTTTAGGATATTGCAGCAAAAGCTTCGTAGCAGGGTTCTTTGCAACATTACGAGGACTTCGCCGAGCACCTCCTGTCGTTCTTCTACGGGGACGACTTGGCCGAAATGGTGAAGTTGGGGCCACATGCGTGCGAGCTTCTGGGATCCCTCTTCAAGAAAATCTTGGAAGACCTCAATGGACCCCTTGGCCGGTCGTTGAAGAAGAAGTTGGTGGATATCGCCGCGGCGGCGCCCTTTGTTGAAGCACTCGACAGCCTGGAGCGTGTCGCTCGAGCTGTGTGCCACATCGTGAATGTGAACCCTGATCCCAAGTTGAGCCAGCCAAAGGCAGCAGACGTGCAGTTCTTCATGGCCTACGCAGGGCGTGCACCCTTGGAGCGCCAATGGAAAAGTTGGTTCGGCAACACAAACGAGTGGTGGACGCAGGAGGTGCAGAGCATTCTAAAGGTTTCCGGTCGCAGCATTTTGCTGCAGCCCAAAGTGGAGCAGTTGCAAGGGTTGCTTGAGAAGGAGGAATTGTCCAGTGGCGACATGAGCTCGGCCATTGACCTCTACATCGAAGTTTCCGCCGGGACACGCGAGATCGTGCACAAGCCTATGGGAGAGGACGCAACTCCGCGAATAGCGGATGAAGCTTTATTTTCCCCTGTGTCAAAAATTTTGGTTTGTCAAACGAACTCAAAATTTAGGGCGTGAGTTTTGTCAAAGTTTTCCCAACACAAGACATGACAGTTCATGTTTGAAGAATCTTGATGAAGTCTTTGTTATGCCGTCAGTTGGCTCCACAGGGTGGTGGGAGGGTAAGAAAAAATTTCCGGCATAAGTCCGGAAAAAAGTTTTGTGAAACGGGGACCCGAGCTCAACAGGTTCGACTTTTAACCTGGCTCCTTTCGACGTTGCCTCTAGGGCTCCGTGCACGCCTCATTAGGAGGCAGATGGAAGCAAATGCTGATTCTTCTCTTGTGGCTTCAGAGCTACGGGGGCAGAGTCAGGAAGCCACAGGTGTTGAAGAGTCTGATGTGTGCACTGGCATGCCGCTTCCTGCTGAAAGTGAATTGAACTTTGACAGAACTCTTGAGCTTCTAGGAGAAGAGCTTGAGGAAACAGGGACAGGGCGGCCTTTGCCTTCGCATCTTGATGCCTTCGTGCCTTCAGAAATAGATAGTGAGCAGAGAGCAGCTTGCATGCGCGATCGAGAGGCTGCAAGGGAAGTGGTCAGTTGTGTTGACAGCAGCCTGCTAAATGATGCTTTGGAGGATTCTGTGCTTGCTCTGGGTAGGAGGGTAGTAGACATTCCTTTGCCTTGGGAGCAGGAGAGCATGAGCTTGGTGTTCGGTGAAGATGATTCAGTGACAAAGCTTTTGGCAGGCCTCCCGAAGCACATACCTGTGCCTGCTGGGCCTGCTGTGTCCAGCACCAACATTCAGCCTTCAGACCTTGTTGCCGAGCCACCGGCAAAACGCGCACGACAGATGCCTGAGAGTGGGGAGTGTTTCAGGGTTGCTATTTCTTCGAGGGCCTACGACAGTTATGAGGAAAAGGAAGAGGCTCAATGGCGACGTGCTCTTGAGAAGTGGCTGGTCATTCTTACTGAGTGCCCTGGTTCGTCATATATCGGAGAAACAGTTGCCATCCAAAAGACGGATGACGCGATTGAAACCTTGCGTGAACTCTTTGGGCGAAAGAGTGGCAGTACAGTCATGAAAAGGGGATCGGCCCTCATGGGATACCTCTCATGGGGGCGAAAGGAATGCAGGGCCGGTGACCTGTTCCCTTTCAAGTCCGCGCATCTAGATGGATACTTGAAGCACCTGAAGAGCGAAAAAAGGCCCGCCGGGGCTGTCACCAGTTTTCAGGAGTGCGTGAACTTCGCTATACATGTGGTCGGCATTGCTGTCGACGAGTCAGTCCTAGGACCGAAGCAAAGCACTGTGTGGAGCCATTGGAGTAAAGGCGTCATCGGTCAGGCTCAGCTGACCAAAGCAGAGCGGAAGCAGGCCACGGTCCTGCCTGTGGCATACGTTGCAGCCCTGGAACGTATGCTCGAAGATGAGTCTGTTAACAGCTTTGATCGTTACGCCTGCGGTGCCATCTTGTTTGGGATCTTCTCTCGGAGCCGAGTGTCGGATTTGAGAAAGACATTCGGTTGGTTCCTTGACTTCAGTGAACTTGGAAGTGGAGGGGAAGGTTTCGTAGAGTGCAAGACGCGAGACCACAAGACTGCCAATGCTGTGGCTCATACAGGTTTCAGCATGCCCTTGGTTGCGCCTGCGCGAGGAGTTACATCTTCAGCATGGGCCGTGACGTGGGCCAAGGTTGCAGAAGATGTCGGTTTGGGTTTTAGTTCCACCCGAGTAGGACCCGTGCTTCCTGCACCTGATCAGAAGGGGGGCTGGACTCGACGATGTGTCGATTCGGGAGAGGTCACCAAGTGGATGCGTGCGTTGCTTGACAAGGCTGGTTGCGATGTGCCTGAGTCGTCGACCTCGCATGCCATCAAAGGGACGTCTTTAAGCTGGTGCTCTAAGTTTGGAATGGATAAGCATACCCGCCTGCGCCTAGGACATCATAGCTCGGGCGACGGATCCTTAGATGCCTACGAGCGCGACAACCTTGCGCCAGCCCTCTTGAAATACACTGAAATGTTGGGAAGCATCAGACGAGGTGTGTTCATGCCTGACTTGAGCAGATCAGGACGGTTCGCTGATCGTCCGATTGTGAAAGTCGAAGTGTCAGAGGATGAGGCTGCATCGCCGAGCCTGCCTGCGTTTGATGCTTCTGAAGAGGAGGGATCTTTAGGCAGGACCACTGAATCGTTCGAGAAGGTCGATGCTGTTGCCACTCCGTTAGCAGACCCTGCAACTTGTGGGGAACAGGGCCGCGAGAGTGAGTCGAGCGACAGCTCGAGCGAGTCGGAGCCTGAGTCCGGTGATGAATGGGTTAAGGGCGAGGACTTCCGACACCCAGCGAGCAAGCCTAGCACCTGGAGGCCTGAGGCCACCATGTACAAACATTCTAGGACTGGCGTTGTTCATCTCATGAGTGCTGGGAGCTCAGATGGGCTTTTCATATGCGGAAGGGCCCTCACCAATGATCATGTGGAAGTCAGTGGTGTGCCGTTCCTTGAGTTGCGAAAGTGCAAGCAATGTGATTCGGGTCGGCCGGTTAGAGATGTGGGCAGCTTGAATGCTGCGCTGCAGCAGATTATGAAATGCAAAGATAAGTGATCGAATCTTGTCCATGTGGGGCGAAAGAAAAGCGAAGTGCGCTTCGAGAGCAGATGAGGTTCATCTGAAAGTCAAGTTCGGCTGCGAGTGCAAAGGTTCTGAATGAGCTATGTTTCTTTGCTCGAAGTTTTGCTCAAGTGGAGACAACATGTGAACAGGCATGAGTGTGTTCCGTGTTCACTGACGAGTAGAGACATGATGGAAGCACATGTTAGGAGCGGCTTGTGAACGTGGCATGTGACTTCATGATTTGGCATGTCTTCTGATCGGTAGTTCTGTGCTGTGTGACTTGCTGAGGGATCATGGGCTCGTTAACGGAATCCACGGCGGATTTCGCATCAAGGGCGAAAGAGATCGGCTTGACTCAAGCCAATGTGGCCACGATAACGGGGACCGGAGTGGATACACTTTCCAAATTAGCTTTTGCAACAGTACCGCCGGGCCAGTCCCCGAGCGATGATCAGGTACAGCGGCTCTTCGGGGCCACACCCATTACGGCGGGGACGATGGCTGCAGCCAAGCGTTTGATCTTTGAGGCCCATACCCTCGTAGTCCAAGAGCTAAAAACCCGAGTTCAGAGGGGAGACTCTGGAGCACCTTCGACGCTTGCCACAGCTGAGAGGGAAGAGCGCATCACAGAGCAGCGCGCAAGGATCACGGGCCTTCTGCATCGTGGTGTCGAAGAACCTAGCCATGCCTCTTATGACTTGGTGTATCATGCTGTCAGCGGATTCCTTGACGTACTTAGGGCCAGATAGGTTTCCAACCCGACAGTCGGAACTTCAGGGCAAGAAGCCGGGGAAGGAGCTCACCATCGACGGAAACAGTGTGACGGTGAGGGACAAGGTGCCTCATCAAACTTGCACAACGGGGACAGAACTTGAGCTTACGCAGGCTCTGAGGCGTCGGGCCTTAGCATTTGATTTAGTCAAGTGCGCCAGTTATGACACCATGAATCGGTATCACTCGTCCTTGATTCATCGGCTGCAGGAGTTGCCACCGCCTACTTATGTGAAGATTTCGGTGGCACAGGTACTTAGGGCGGACAGGGCAGCTTTCACACGCATTGCTGAAAGCCTTCCCTCAATCAAGCGTCAGCCCGATGGGACTTTGCCTTTAGATCGAGCCCTTGAGAACATTCTGCAGGATCCCAGCATCAGCTTCCACTTGTTACCTTTGAAAGGTGGAGAGATCGATGATAACAAACGGAAGTGGACAGATGACGCCAAAAAGACCGATGAGCCGACCAAGTGGAAAAAGAATGGCAAGGGAAAGGGCAAGGGCAAAGGCAAGGATCAGCCAGGAGTTAAAGGGGCCAAATTCATCAAGATGCCGAAGCAGCTCGTCGGGAAAGCCAGCGAGACCAACGAAGGAAAGAGGTTGTGTTGGGCATACAACATTGATGGATGTCCCAATGCTGCTGACGGCGAGGAGTGTCCTCGCGGATGGCACTTGTGTTGCGAGCCAAATTGCTTCAAGGCGCATCCGTTGCCCAAGCACCGAAAGTGACAGCCGGCCGCCTCGACTGTACCGGAGCCCGAGTCTTATCTTCAAAAAGTAATGGCTAGGGTTAAAGGGGTCTCCTTGGATGAATGTCTCGTCTTAGAGGTCTCGCCGGGGTCGGGGCGATTGACTGCATGCCTCAAGCAGCGACAGCTTGATAACAGTTTTTCCGTTGATAGAACAGCCGGCAAGTGCTGTGCACCGCGAATTGTGATTGACTTGTGTACAGAGTCGGGTCGCAAGCAATTCCAGGAGATTTTGACCGAAGAAAATTTGATCTATGTTCATTTTTATCCGCCCTGTAATACTACAAGCCGCGCCAGGTTGCGTCAATTTGCAGGAGCCCCTGCAATCCTGCGGAACGAATCCCATCCCGATGGAGTTCCAGGGTTGGGGCTAGCCGATCGTACTAGAGTGAGTGATGCCAATGCTTACCTGCGTGCTGTGGCTGCAGCTTGCCAAACATGTCACGAACGCGGAGTGCTTTTCAGCATCTGCAATCCAGAGTCAAGTTTCGTGTGGGCTACCAAACCTTTGCGACTTTTGCTTCAGGAAGTTCCTCTCTTCACGACGCACTTTCACCTTTGCAGCTACGACTCGCCCTTCAAAAAGGCTATGCGAACGTTGCACTCCCTGCCAAAATTTTTGGAGTTGCATCGTCCATGTGCCGGTGGACATGTACATAAGTTTTGGTCTAAGGGTGTAGGCTGCAAGTTCGACCGTGATTTGGATTTTCCTTGGGGTTTGTGCAAAGCTATGTCACAGCTTCTGCAAGATCAACTGCTTGACATGGGGGCCAAGCCTCTGCCTACTGACTTGAGTCAGGCAACACCCACCGTTGCAGCGGCCAGAGCTGTGGCTGGATGGCAAAGCAAAAAGCGTGTCCTTCCTCTGGTTCCGGAGTTCAAACATGTTGTGAACGTCCGTGGCAGCTTCCCTGCTGCGTCTATGCATGGCCTTCAAGTAGGCTGTAAACTCCCTGCACCATGGGAGGTACCTGCTTCTGCAAACGTTGACCCGTGCTTCGTGTCGTCTGTGCCACAAGGTGCCAAAGTCCTTCGCATCCTCACGGTGCCGGGGGATAGTTCAGAGGATGCTTCTGACAACTTGAGTGCAGGCCAGGCTGACGGGCAAGACGACTCGCCGGCAGCCAGTTTTCTTCACCGTACATGTTCGGACCTTCACTCTCCGCCTGAGGATGCTCACCCTGCTGAGAAGCTTGCCTGCATCATGTTACGGTGGAACACTCGCTTCAGCCAAGAGGAGATGCGAACTCTCTTGGACATGTTGCCGCAAAAACATCAGACCAGAGCCAGGGGGAGCTGTGATGACCAATCTAATCAGTTTCTGTGCGGAGCCTATGCTCATGGGCCCATGACGGGCTGCAAAAACTTGACGCGGGATATGCCTTGGTGCACTGCCGTGCTTTGCAAGCATGTTCGCGATAATGCTCCGGGTTTTTGCTTCTCTGCCGTGCGCTATCTGTGCAATGTGCGCGCAGAAGCCCATCGTGATTTGCACAATGAGCCAGGAACAAAAAAACCTGATCATGGCAACGCATGCTTGTGCTGGCGGAGGACTGTGGCTCGAGGAGGCAGGTGGACCTATTGCAATGGTCGTCGGGAAAACCCAACGTGCTGGGAGATTTCACGACTTAGCAGTTGGGAGACCCTTTATCTTTGAACCGAAGCGTTGGCATGCCACTCAACCGTGGCGAGGTGACAGAGGAGTGATCGTTGCATACACCCCAGTGGGAGTGACCAAACTTGCGACTGCCGACAAAGGGTTCTTAGAAAACTTGGGTTTCCCCTTAGGCCCCTCTTGTGGTTCTAGTGATGTGCCTCCCAGGGTCGCAAAAGTACAAAAAGGAAGTATCACTTTCGGCGTGTACCATGAGCCGGAGGAGTTCGTGGCGAGGGCGTTGAGCGTGCAACATCCGTGTCACTTGGAAAGCCTTTTGCCATCAGAGCTTGTCGAGGCCATACGGGCGAATCATTCCAAAGATGTTGCTACGCTTGGGCGAGAGCGAACTGAGATGCTCAAGAAATGGCTCGCTCGTGCTGAGGAGCTGGAAACTGCCGAAAGCCAGCTCAAGGGATCCTTCAGCTCCCATCGACGTCAAGTGTTGTGCAACAAGCGGCTGCTCTTGATGAAAGAGATGCTTGACAGTGTGGGACATGAGGACGAGGACTTGATATCTGATCTGTCAAACGGTTTTGACTTAACCGGACCCCTGCCACGATCTAACGCCTTTAAGAATAAGTACCGCCCGGCAGCCATGGCCGAGGAAACGCTTAGGAAAAGTGCGGGTTTAGTTAGGGGTCAGGTTTTGGCTTCGGTTAAAAGTTCAGGTGACGAGATCGTGGATCAAGGCGTGCTAGCAGCCACGGAGAAGGAGTTAACCAAAGGCTTCATTGAGGGGCCGGTGAGTGCTAGCGACATCCCTGATGATGGGACGGTCACGCATCGCTTTGGAGTGATTCAAGGAGAGACCGAGGAAGGTCCCAAAGTTAGACCAATCGATAATTACTTGAGTTCGCTTGCAAATTCGGTTGTATCCCAAAGTGAACAAGTGCCCGTTCACACGTTAGACGTAGTTGCTGGCATGTTAGCGATGTGGTTGCACTTGTCTCCTTTGAAGTCCTTGCGTGCGGGACTTGTGTGCAAATGTTGGGACCTCAGTGCCGCGTACAAGCAACTGCCGCTTAGTGACAAGAGTTTCGAAAAGGATAGCTTTTTCGTAATCTTCTGTCCCACTCGCAAGCACGTCATCTACAAGCAGCGGGTCATGCCCTTCGGGGCAAAAGCCTCAGTGACCGCCTTTATCCGTTGTGCATTCGGGATTTGGCGGTTGGGGGTAAAAATGTTTGCCTTGGTCTGGAGTTTTTATTTTGACGATTTCCTATCGGCCTGCAAGCCTGAGGAGCGCCGACATGTGGAAGTCGTGATCAGCACTCTGTTTCGGCTACTAGGTTGGGATCTTTCACTAGATAAACTTTTGCTTTACGACGTGTGCTGTAAAGTTCTTGGAATCAAGATTGACATGTCTGAAGCTCGCCTGGGGCTCTTCAAGTTGGCGAACACCGAAAAGCGTGTGCTTGAGTTGACTGCTGCCTTGGACGAGGTCTTGTTAGCTGGCAGGTTGTCGCATTCTGACTGCGAGAGGCTTCGAGGTAGGCTGCAGTTTGCTTCGGGCCAGTTGTTCGGTCGAAGGGCGAAGGTTGCTCTGCACCAGCTTAGCCGGCATCACGGAGGTCGGCTGAGTGAGGTCACTTCCGAGGCGTGCCGCTTCTTGAGGCGTCTGGTTTCGTCAAACCAGAACCGCTCGATTAGTCGGCAACTGGGCAATGTTGTGCATGTGTATGTGGATGCATCTTTCAGCGATGAAGGCAAGCTTTGTGGCATCGGGGGCATGGCATATGACCATAAAGGCTCCTTGCTCCAATGGTTCGGTGAAAACCTTGATGCTTCGCTTGTTTCCCAAGTCATGACGTCCT